TNTCCTCAAGCCAGAGTGGCGCAACAAACTCGCTATGACCTATCCAAACGACGACGACGCCATTCTCTACCTTTTCACCTTGATCGTCAAACGGCACGGCTGGACCTTCATCGACTCCCTCGTCTCGCAAAACGTAACCTGGCTCCGGGGAACCGGAACCCCCTCCGAACTCATCGCCAAACCGATCTCACAAAACGAGCTCGCTGCATCCTTCGCTGCATCCCCGTCCGCCGCAGCCGTAATCTTAACTAAACTGCCCACTGAAGACCACTACGTCACTTGGCCACAAACCGCCGCCATCTTTGCAACCACGAAGATGCCGGAAACTGCCAAGCTCTTCATGAGTTATATCATGAGCGACGAATGGCAAGCGGATGGCTTTCCGTCGAGCGGATACGCAACGAGGAAACAATTTGATACGGATGGGGTTTTGAATCAGACGCTTACGAACCCTCTTGGGTTTGTGACGTTTATGCAGGATCGCGCGAATGTGGAGAGGTGGAGGTTCCAGTTCGAGACTACGTTGGGAACCCCACAGGGAGTAAGTCCTCTCCTCAACAAGACAGTTATCTAGTCGCCATTTACTATGCCACTGCTTGTAAATCAGTTTTCGGACAGCAATATAGTTTTCACAGTTCGCAAGATATTTACCTTATCCCCTACGAGGGTACCTAGTCAGTCGACCTTGCACTGGTACTTATGACCAATTGAGATGAGACGGCGGCCGTGGGGCCGCTGCCAGTGGGCTCTGATTACCGGCAATTGACTAAGCCCATCAAAGACGAACTGTGCTCAACGTCCCTAATTCTTACTTGAATATGTCCATAGGACCATAATCCATGGCAGTCCCTAACACAACGGGACGAAAACACCGTGTCCTTACCAAGTCCTTACTCAAACTCATCACTCAATCCGCGACAGTGGTGGGAACGGATTGATCAATATCAGGTTTCCTCAGGCTCCTTGTGAGTAGAAACCGCAAGCGTACCCATTTTTTTTTCTATGTCCCAACGTTGTAATAGAATCAACAACTTTTCCCCATAGCCAGTACTTCAAACCAACATGCAGATGGCCGTGGAATAGCAGAGGGTCAGTTGCAACGCGACAATTTCACGATAGCTTTATCTATCAGATTTTACGTGCACTGCTTACTCCAGGGCCGAAAATGAGGTTAGCTTAAGCCGATGAAACGGGATGATCAGGGATGGCGCTAGCACAAACCAACCCAGGCTTCCTCAAGGCTTCCTTTCTGGATAAAAGGCAAACGTCTTAAAACATGAAGGGCGAGCAACTTCCAACGCACTTGAGCTGCAATGGTTCGTGTCATCATCCTAGCTGGCTGTTGCCTCCTTGCCCTGGTCTCGTCCGGCTTTTGTCTATCTTATGGCCACGAACCTATAGGCATCGAATCTCGCAGCCTTGACGCTATATACCAAGCTGCTCTTAAGGAAAAAGGAACTTTGAGAGTCTCCTGGGGCGGTGACGGTAAACTAGTTGTTTTTTTGTCTCTTGGCAAAAACGGTTTTAACATTTTTTCTGTTTCAAAGCAATATCAAATGGCGCAGGAATTATAGCCGCTTTCACGAAGCGTTTCCCAGACGTCGAGTTCAACCTAACTGTTGACCTATCCAAGTACCACGACAGCCGTGCTGATCGTACTTTCGACACTTCAAATGGAGAGGACGATGGTACTGACGTCGTACTCCTTCAAACTGTGCACGATTTTCCTCGCTGGAAGAAAGCGAACCGATTGCTGCCCTACAAGGTAGCCACCTGGAACGACATTCAGTCACCGTTCAAAGACGAAGACGGTGCTTTTACAGGCTGCTTCATTGGTAAGCTCCCAAACCCTCTCTACGCGTACACCTAGATCATTATTTTTTCTTTCTTTATCTATGCAGGCGAGTTCGGTACAATTGTCTTCAACGACGACAAAGCCCCCAACGACACAGTACCAACCACATACCAATCATTCCTCAAGCCAGAGTGGCGCAACAAACTCGCTATGACCTATCCAAACGACGACGACGCCATTCTCTACCTTTTCACCTTGATCGTCAAACGGCACGGCTGGACCTTCATCGACTCCCTCGTCTCGCAAAACGTAACCTGGCTCCGGGGAACCGGAACCCCCTCCGAACTCATCGCCAAACCGATCTCACAAAACGAGCTCGCTGCATCCTTCGCTGCATCCCCGTCCGCCGCAGCCGTAATCTTAACTAAACTGCCCACTGAAGACCACTACGTCACTTGGCCACAAACCGCCGCCATCTTTGCAACCACGAAGATGCCGGAAACTGCCAAGCTCTTCATGAGTTATATCATGAGCGACGAATGGCAAGCGGATGGCTTTCCGTCGAGCGGATACGCAACGAGGAAACAATTTGATACGGATGGGGTTTTGAATCAGACGCTTACGAACCCTCTTGGGTTTGTGACGTTTATGCAGGATCGCGCGAATGTGGAGAGGTGGAGGTTCCAGTTCGAGACTACGTTGGGAACCCCACAGGGAGTAAGTCCTCTCCTCAACAAGACAGTTATCTAGTCGCCATTTACTATGCCACTGCTTGTAAATCAGTTTTCGGACAGCAATATAGTTTTCACAGTTCGCAAGATATTTACCTTATCCCCTACGAGGGTACCTAGTCAGTCGACCTTGCACTGGTACTTATGACCAATTGAGATGAGACGGCGGCCGTGGGGCCGCTGCCAGTGGGCTCTGATTACCGGCAATTGACTAAGCCCATCAAAGACGAACTGTGCTCAACGTCCCTAATTCTTACTTGAATATGTCCATAGGACCATAATCCATGGCAGTCCCTAACACAACGGGACGAAAACACCGTGTCCTTACCAAGTCCTTACTCAAACTCATCACTCAATCCGCGACAGTGGTGGGAACGGATTGATCAATATCAGGTTTCCTCAGGCTCCTTGTGAGTAGAAACCGCAAGCGTACCCATTTTTTTTTCTATGTCCCAACGTTGTAATAGAATCAACAACTTTTCCCCATAGCCAGTACTTCAAACCAACATGCAGATGGCCGTGGAATAGCAGAGGGTCAGTTGCAACGCGACAATTTCACGATAGCTTTATCTATCAGATTTTACGTGCACTGCTTACTCCAGGGCCGAAAATGAGGTTAGCTTAAGCCGATGAAACGGGATGATCAGGGATGGCGCTAGCACAAACCAACCCAGGCTTCCTCAAGGCTTCCTTTCTGGATAAAAGGCAAACGTCTTAAAACATGAAGGGCGAGCAACTTCCAACGCACTTGAGCTGCAATGGTTCGTGTCATCATCCTAGCTGGCTGTTGCCTCCTTGCCCTGGTCTCGTCCGGCTTTTGTCTATCTTATGGCCACGAACCTATAGGCATCGAATCTCGCAGCCTTGACGCTATATACCAAGCTGCTCTTAAGGAAAAAGGAACTTTGAGAGTCTCCTGGGGCGGTGACGGTAAACTAGTTGTTTTTTTGTCTCTTGGCAAAAACGGTTTTAACATTTTTTCTGTTTCAAAGCAATATCAAATGGCGCAGGAATTATAGCCGCTTTCACGAAGCGTTTCCCAGACGTCGAGTTCAACCTAACTGTTGACCTATCCAAGTACCACGACAGCCGTGCTGATCGTACTTTCGACACTTCAAATGGAGAGGACGATGGTACTGACGTCGTACTCCTTCAAACTGTGCACGATTTTCCTCGCTGGAAGAAAGCGAACCGATTGCTGCCCTACAAGGTAGCCACCTGGAACGACATTCAGTCACCGTTCAAAGACGAAGACGGTGCTTTTACAGGCTGCTTCATTGGTAAGCTCCCAAACCCTCTCTACGCGTACACCTAGATCATTATTTTTTCTTTCTTTATCTATGCAGGCGAGTTCGGTACAATTGTCTTCAACGACGACAAAGCCCCCAACGACACAGTACCAACCACATACCAATCATTCCTCAAGCCAGAGTGGCGCAACAAACTCGCTATGACCTATCCAAACGACGACGACGCCATTCTCTACCTTTTCACCTTGATCGTCAAACGGCACGGCTGGACCTTCATCGACTCCCTCGTCTCGCAAAACGTAACCTGGCTCCGGGGAACCGGAACCCCCTCCGAACTCATCGCCAAACCGATCTCACAAAACGAGCTCGCTGCATCCTTCGCTGCATCCCCGTCCGCCGCAGCCGTAATCTTAACTAAACTGCCCACTGAAGACCACTACGTCACTTGGCCACAAACCGCCGCCATCTTTGCA